CTTTAATTCACTCTGGGCTGCCTTTCACACTCAGCAAATCACCAGAAGACCTTTTCACTACAATACCAATGACCCGCACGTTGCTCAACTCAGTGACCATTTTTTGCAGTTCTCAGCTTATTTGATCTCTCAGCAGCTTCTGACCTTGTCCATTGCATCCTTCTTTTTAAAAGTTCATTGTTAAAAATTTCAGACTTAAAAATTTTACGAAGAACGACGACCCCATATATCACCTAGTTTACAAAAAAAAATCTTTTTTTCTTTTTTTTTCTTTCTCAACCTGAAAAGCTGCTAATTTTGAGGGAAATAAAATCTTAACAACATTAACAACTATTCCCCTAGAGAGCTTCAGAAGGCTCTGTACCTTTCCCCAGCCATGGGCCATTTCTCCCCTCCCAAGAGATAACTACTGTCCTAACCTTGATGTCCATGGGGTTTGAGGAATCAATATATTTCTCTGTCACATCTGAGTTCTGTCAATTTCCTCCAGCCAAAGGCCATCAGGGACGAGCTGCAGCGGCACATGCTGGGCCAATCACATCTTGCTGCCAAGGAGAATACACGCCACAGAGTCCCAATAAGAGGGTGTTGGAGAGAACCTATCCAGTGGATTTGGGCCTCAGTTGGATGATTTGGGGGAGGATCTAGTGAAGGAGAGATTTACCCTAGATTGGATGCCATTAAAAAGCAGGGGCAATTCTCTGACTAGTTATCTCAATAAGTCTTATCTATGGTGGGGAGCTAGAATGAGGATAAAGTTGTAACTAGTAAAGACGTACCGTGTTTCCCCGAAAATAAGACAGTTTCTTATATTTAGTTTTCCTCAAGAAGACATCCTAGGGCTTGTTCTTCAGGGGGTGTGTTATTTTTTTTAAGTACAGTACAACAATCTACATTTATTCAAATATAGTTAAGTCGTCTTCTTCTGGAACATCATCATAGTAAAATGGCAGCCACAGCTTTCCTTCTTCCCCCTGGGGACACACAATTCCTAAAGCGAAGAGACTTTCTACTCAAAGCCTCAGCTTGCAGCACGCACAGGATGGCCAGGACCTGACAGGGGTTGCCGACTTTGTTGGTGGGGCTGCCCGCACCTTTCCGGTCACCTCTGGGATAGTCGCTGTCATGATGGGGCAGATGAGAAGGGCTGCTCATCTTCTTTACCACTTCGTGATGAAATGCATGGGTTGTGCAGATGCACTGCGTAGTCACGCCCGTCACTAGGTCTCATTTTCAGGGTGGGGCTTCTATTGCACAAATGCTTAGAAATCCTGCCAGGGCTTATTTTATGGGTAGGTCTTATTTTCGGGGAAACACGGTAGCAGCCAGTCATTTTGGCCAAGAGAGGAAATGTCTGGTGTTTTGTGGGTGACCTATTGCCTCTGTTTTTGTCTGTGTTTAGACAAGATTACTGAGTGGCCTTACTCTGTCTCCTTTTGTCGCAGTCTCAGCATAACCTTGTCTGAGGCCGGAATCCTTCGACATGGTTTATGTCTCACGGCAGAATAACATGACCTTACCATGAGCAAGCTTTTGAATCTCAGGGGTTGCTTTCTTTTCCTTTCTCAGTTCTGAACATGTTGAGAAACAGTATTCAGGCAGATCGAGACCCAAATATGGGCTGATTGGGAGAACATGACTTGATATCTGACAAAATGGGCTTTCTAATATTGAACCCGGAATTAGACAGACTACACCACTCAGCTGTGGATTGCAGAGATGCCTGGGTCTGACTTGCTCAGGAAGGGCCTTTGCCAAGTTCATAACAATATAGCACCTCTCTGAAGCTCCTTCTCCATCTGTTTTGTGGGCTCATCTCCTCTTCCCGGCCGTTCAGTGGTGAAGTTCCTACAGACTCAGAGCCATGGTTTCTTCTCGCCCTATAGTATAGCTTACCTTGCCTTGAAACTAGGCACATGCAAAACCAGGAGCAAATGGTAGCCCCCTGCCCCGCAGCCCCAACAATCCATCTCAACATGTTTCTATGCTCAGTGAAGCCCAAAGCACAGTGTCAGGCATGCAGATGGTGCTCAATAGATGTTGGCTGCTATAATTAACTATCACCCATGTAACCTCAAAGAAGAAGAAGAAAATAAGTTTTTAGTGGTTAAGGTTTATTTTTAATTTCTTACTAATATGCATATTAATATTAATGTCATCAGTAGCTATGCTCTGTGGTTCTCAAAGTATATGCTTTCGTACAAAAAAAAAATTATCTCTTACAGTCTCCTAGTTTGCTCATCAATATGCAATGGCCCTGAGTCCACACCTCTAGCCTAGACCTCTGCTCTGGCATGCCCACTCACCCTCTCCACCTGGGTGTCTCAGATGCACATCAGCTTAACTTGGCCAAGGCCAAGCTCATCATCCCCTCCTTAAATTTGGTATTTCTGGTTCTCTGTGGTCTGTTCCTGCTGCTCCACACCCTACACTCCAGCTACCATAACCTGCCTACACAGTCCTTCATGCCACCAAGCCTCTGCCATTCAGTTATTTCTGCTGGGAAGACTCTTTTGTCCTGTCTCTGCATGGCCAACCTCCTCCTCCCAAGACTTAGCAGAAGTATCATCTCTGCAGAGAGCCTTTACTGGATGCTCTAAGTTAGGTTGTACACCTCCACTTGGTGTTACCTTCATCCCTTTTGTTCCTCTGTCATGCAATTAGCTCATTGATTTATTGACCCCTGCTTGGGCCACAAACTTCTCAAGGTCAAGATCTCCATCATATTCATCTATATATCTTGAGCTCTGTCTATACCTATATATATCTTTATCTACATATACATGTAGGTATAGATAAGATATGTGGGTGGATTTATAGAGAGATTTATAGATAGGTATGGATATCTAATATCTTGAATGAAACTCAGCACTCAATGTAGGTACTCAGTGAATGTTTTTGTTAAACTGCTTGTTGTCTAAAGATTTTGTTGGCATTTTTTCCACTCCTGGAATGACCAGGGCTTTGATAATTTTAGCCAAAGAAGAGTAAGCCAAATACTTTATCTGTTGTATTTTGCTTTACTCATGAGATATATTAATATTAATATTAAATTATTATATTAATTATTAATATTAATAGTAAATATTAATAGTATTTTGATTAAAGTTTGGTAAAGAATGCATCTTTTTCCCCTCTTAAGTTACATGATATTTTCAAACATGGTTTATTTTCATTTTTCATTAATTGCTATTGGGTTATGACTCCTGAATTTAAGTAATATTTTTATGAATCAAATAAGCATCTTCTATCTTATCTATAAACCCTAAATTCATCTGTTATTTTAAAGGGCTGTTAAATAATGGCTGTCCTACCCTCCTAGTTAAAGAAATGCAAATCTCCAGGTAGAAACCAGGGCTTCTATCTCCCAATCCCATGTTTTCTTCCCTAGATCCAGTTGGACTTCATAGGAGTTTTAAAAAGCTTTCTATTTGGAAATAATTATGGATTCACAGGAAGTTGTAGAGGTCCTGTGTCTCCTTCAACTGGTTTTTCCTTTGCTACATATATGATGAAATGGAACTATAAACATACATTATGCCACTGTCACGTTCCTGGTTTGGTATTATACTTTGGTTATATAAGATGGAAGTAATGAGCAGTGTCAATGGGCCTTGACAGTTAATGCCCCCTCAGGGGACAGCAGAGAGGAGCCACCTCTGGCCCCATCTGGCTGGCACCAACAAGGTGCTGGTTCTAGGGCCTCAAGCAGGGCTTGGAGTTTGTGGATTTCAGGTCTGAAGCATGCACGTGACTTGGCTGCACTCCAAGGGCAGGCTGCTTTCTCCCTGCCACCACCTGGCAGCTTTTCTCTGGGTCATTTATTACACCTTTCTGCACAAGGCTTGTGGTGGGCGTGGTTCATCTCTTTGAGCCTGGCAATGCACTGATCAATTTCTGCCTGCTACCGGTGTCTCTGCCTTGCGGGCCAGGTGCCCATCCTTGTCTCGAAGGGATGGAGAAGGGACCCCAGCAGGGTCTGGGGTCAGTGTGAGATTCTGGGCAGGGGCCCAGGCAGGGAAGGCCCCTCAGAACACACGAAGCACAGCAGGTGAGGGATGGGAGGGACAGTATACATATAGGCGTTGCTGAGCACAGCACATCTGGGAGGGAAAGGCAGGCAGCTGTGCCCTGTGAACAAGGCATTATTTCCACCAGGATTCCTATATAAACAAGGATTTTGTTTTTCCTCACTATCACCTCCTAACTCGGTTTTCTCAAGCCAGATCTCTTTGAAATGTCTGCAGGTTCTTAGTGTGCCAATCAAAACAAAGATAAAAGCACCAATGATGCTATCCATTGTGAGCATTTTAGTTAGAACTCTGCAAACCAGTTTCGCATTTGTTTAAAGAAAGTCAACATTACTTTTTTTTTTTTTTTATCTATGTTGCAAGTGGGATTGCCTGCCCTGGAAGGAGACCCTGGCTTGGCAATTAAATTGGACAAAGAACACAAAGTTTCCATACCAAAGGGTCATGCTTGCTTTTCCTGAATTGCTAGAGATAAAGTTGTAACAAAGCATAAATCACGTGCAACGCTGAGAAGTGAAGATGTGGTCTGTTTGTGCTTTGCACTGTTTCTAGACGTCTTTGGTTGCTCTTCAGAGCTGGTGTGCTGGTTTACAAGTGTCTGCAGTGGGGAGGGTCTTTTTGTTTGTTTATTTTCTTTTTAGCATCTTTTGTCTGATTCTTAAGCTGAGGCTGTAGCATGTTGGATAAAGGTCTGCTTCGTTTTGTTATGTTTTTACTTATGTGAGTCGTTATCATTGAGCCAGAAAGTTGGAAATTAACATCTGCTGAGCTTTGGCAAGCAACAGCGTTGGCCCTGTGTAGCTAAGGAAACTCCTTCAAAATCTTATCTCATTAGAGGCTTTTAATGGGGATAAAGCAATGTTCATTAAAAGCTGAACCCTCCTAGACTCACTACTCTACAGGATAATTGCGTTTATATCAATCTTGAGACCCATTAGCTTAGTTTCAAGAAGAAGAAAATTCCAACTCTCCTTTCTGCATAGAAGGAACTAATATTAAAAAAATAAATAAGGACTATGACAAGTCCCATTGCATTTTCGCCTTGCCCTGGGGCACGTGAAAATGGTTTGAAAGCTAAGAGACACAGGCTAGGGAAAAAGAAGATCTAGAAAAAAATTAGACACGGTCGATAAAATGGTGAGTTTTTATAGTTCTCTATTTTTCTCCCTTTTTTATTAAAATAATGTGTCCTTGATAGTGGAATTAGGGTGGGAATGGAAAAATCTTAATTAGATCTGCTGCGTATTTTATATCTGTGATCATTTAGGTATCGTCCCAAGTGTCCCCACCTCTACCTAACAAATAAAACTCACCTTGAAAGGCTCAGCTGAAACTTCTCAGACTCCTCCAACCAGAAACCATCTTTCTCTCCTCTGAACCGCAGTCCAGTGGTGTTTTGTTTCTTTCACTAATGATTGATCACATTCTCTTGACATTGTAGTTGTTTTTAGACCTGTTTGTGCCACTGCCCATTATACCCCAGGTGAGGACAGAGACCTTGACTGAGCCATCTCCTTGTCCCCTGTGATAGCTGGCATGGCGCCTTCCACACAGTAAGCATTTAAAACATACTTGTTGATTAGGAGGATACAATTCATGTTAATTGCAACATTGTTAACCGAATTGCATAAAAGTTATTTTCTGTGTTCATGGTACCATGCACTAGATACTTCTTAGGAGAGGCCCCCATGTCGCCTTCCTAATAAAGCAGGGTGGGAGTCGAATGAAGAGTGTGGTGCTCTCAGAACTCCTGCTCATCTTCCACAGGTCCCGGCCGTGATGATGCCTGTCACTGTCGCAAGAGGCGGAACTCTGATTGTTTTGTTCTTTTGAGAGTTTCGTAATGCAGTGGTAGTCATTTCAGCAATTGTTGCAGCTTCACATGAGTATAATCAAAAGGATCATATTCCAATTTATCTTGCAGGTGGAGGTGTGTTTTATGCCTGTCCTGGGCAGCTTTGAACCGAGACCTGTGATATGAGTATATCAGGATAATGACGTGCAATGCAAGCAGGGGATCCAGGAATTGCTCTCACCAGAGACATCGTAAAGCCGTATTTGGAGAAGAATCTTTTATTGTTTAAAAATATTTTTGGAGCGTCAGGTATATGTCTAGTACTAGCAGCTGCAATGGGAACACTAGTGTATTGAATCATATTTTGAGCTTCGAGGAAATTGCAATTCAAAAATATCTTAGGAGGTTTTGAGATTTCTCCCAAATATGCCTGCTGCCCTTTGTATAGTGACTTTGCAGGTCAGAACTTAGCTAGTTGTGCCCAGGGTCCACCTGGAAAGAAAGTCCTCTGGTGCTGAAAAATTTGCTTTCTGCTTGTGGTCTCTTGTCTATAGCTATGAGATACGTTGTCCTGAGATCTAATGTAACCCCTGCCCCCACCATGCCAGGACACTGGGCTGAGCTTTCACTTACACTGCTTTTAAAAATCTCCCAGAAATTTTAATGAGATCCATACCACTTTGTTTAAGTGGCATTTTGGGGAGAACTTTTCAGATTTACTACTATTTTCTTTTATTTGCTTAAACAGATTTTGGAGGGATGATAAGACCATGTCTTATTTGCATTTAAAATTTTGGGAGTGCAATTTAGAAGCAAGAGATGGGGAGTCTTAGTTCTGGGTTCTAGTTCTGACTGTGCTTTTAACCAGTTCAACACCTTTGTGTAAACATCAGCTATTTCCCAGTGGCTGATTTTTCCCATCCGTAGAATGAAGTCAATCCATAGAATGAAGTCACGTTGTCTCTCTGATCTGGTTGTGACCTTGTTTTGGCTCACACGGATTGCATGTATGCGAACTTGGTCCCGGGCACTGTGCTATGTGTTTTGCATGGGCTGTCTCATTTACTCGTCACGGGGACTCTGTAAGATAGGCTCTTTTGTGTGCCCTGTATTTGGGAGACAAAGGTCATGAGAAACCAAATAACTGTAGGGTTCAAATGATCTGAACCCCAGAACCTACGCTGTTAGTCACTGAACTATACTGCTAGGAGAAAAGGAGATACAAGATAGGAAAGTGCCTTAGAGTCAAAACAATTAGACATGCAATGGCTTATCACATCTCAGGAATTGGCAGGGCAGACTCTTGTCTGTGCAGATCATTTGAAGAATGCAGGCAGAGCAAAGCCGACGCGTCCAAAACCAAACTTCTCTTTCTCCCAAACCTTCTCTCCTGGGGCAGCTCCATCCTCTGAGTTACACATGCTGGACCCTGGGCCCCCTTCTTGTTGGGTGCTCTTTCTCCTCTCTCCTTATGTGATTGGGGCGCAATCCGAGAAAATTGTTCTTGAATCCCTCCTCACCCTCTATCTTTAGTGATATGGCCTCCTCAGCCCTTGTGTGGAATACTATAGTGGCCTCATACCTGGTGTCCCCAGTTTTTCCCCTCCTGTCCCTCCCAACACTGCCTATTTGCTAAAATTCGATCATGTGACTCTCTTGTTTATAACTTAGATGCCTGGCTCGCCGTGGCCTAGGGGGTGAAGTTTAAATTCCCTATCATGATTTAAGGGCCCTTTACTTTGACACCTCCCTGATGCCTCCCTCTTGTTCCCTTGCACCTTGCACGGGCATCATGCACATCGCACATTAATCTCTATGTCTCTGTGATTTCCTTTTGTGATCAACACACATCTGTGAAAGCACGTAGTAAATTACAGAGAAGTGGTGTGGCTCGGTGATCAAGAACACAAGCAGCAGAGACACATCGTCTGGCTTAGAGGCCAAGATTTGCCATTTAGTCACTTGTGCAAGTCTCAATTGTCCCTGTCTGCAAAATGGGTATGATGTTAATAGAACTTGTCTCATAGGAGACATCAGAGAAGTGGAAAGAATGTGCAGATGGAGTAAGGTCAGAGCTAGGAAGGGGACATGCTTTACAGAAAGAGCATGGACTGGCCGGGCGTGGTGGCTCACGCCTGTAATCCTAGCACTCTGGGAGGCCAAGGCGGGCACATCGCTCGAGGTCAGGTGTTCGAAACCAGCCTGAGCAAGAGCGAGACCCCGTCTCTACTATAAATAGAAAGAAATTAATTGGCCAACTAAAAATACATAGAAAAAACTAGCCGGGCATGGAGGCGCATACCTGTAGCCCCAGCTACTCAGGAGGCTGAGGCAGAAGGATCGCTGGAGCCCAGGAGTCTGAGGTTGCTGTGAGCTAGGCTGATGCCGCGGCACTATAGCCCAGGCAACAGAGTGAGACTCTGACTCAAAAAAAAAAAAAAAGAAAGAAAGAAAAGAAAAAGAAAGAGCATGGACTGTTTGAAGAGTGATGCAGAGAGAACATATTAGTGGAACGTTAAATGTATTAAACTATAAAACAAACATTCAATAAGAGTTCTGTGCCATCTCTCTGGGTGTAGAAACAGGACAATTTCTACTGCAGATACACTTCTTTGCAGGCACAGTATCTTGAAATATTTTTAGCTAGTAACTGAATAATCAGTGAACCCCCGGCAGGGATTGACTACAAGAAAGGACTGGCAGCAAGTGTCAGGAGCGGGGGAACTAAAAGAAGGATTAAAAAAATGCCAGGGCAGGTGCTCATAGGTGTGGTCACCTGGAGCCGCCTGTTGTCTGCAATATTAACTGTGAGTCTTATTTTTATCAACAATGACAATGCATCTTGCATTTATTTATTATTGGGCTTCTTCCTGTTTTTTTTTCCCCCTGTATTTTTGGTCCTGTTCCCATATTCAGATAGATGATACAAGGAGAGAAGGCTTTGTTGATCTAGTCTTCATGGAGTTTCTAAAATAATCCTGCACAATACGTGCATTCTCTAGTCCTGTTATATAAGAACCACTTTCGGAAAGCAAGTCCCTCATTTGTGTGCTGGCGTCTTCCTCGTAGGTGGGGAAGGAAGAGGAGTTAGGCTGTTGATTTTGTCTCAACTAAAAGGAGCAGTTTCATGGTTAAGCCCCCCTCCCCTCAAACTCAGCAGCAAAACACATGCAGTTCCTCACCGGAGTGGGTGTTGGCACGCTTGGAGTCAGGATGTTCCCAGGTGTCCTTTTTGGGGCTGTGCTGTGTGGAATCCCTTCTTCCCTGAGACCTCAGGCTGTACTCATCATCAGCTTGTCACTGTTTGTGCCAAAGCAGAGTGTCTCACCTGGGGGAACCTAAGAGGGAGAGGGGGAAGGTGTTACATGCCTCTCCCAAATGTCACCTCCACGTCACTTTTGAAACTGGCATTTGTGCTGGCAGTTCTCTTTAGAGGCTATGTTTTGTCCTGTTTCCAGGGTTCCCTGATATGACTTCCCTGCTACTTTCTCTTTTGCCCTGCTGTGCACACCACCTTCCCCTTTGCTGGTGGTGTTTAATTCTATATCTGTGGAGCAGACTCTCTCTACTCTCTGCAGTGCAAGGAAGGGGATGATCATGGCAGTGTTTTAGGAGGTGTGGGCAAGTCACCCAGCTCCTCCTGAACTCAAGTGTCTTTGTCTTAGAGAACAGGGATCAGAGACTCGCCACTGAAGTTACCATGAGGTTGACAGGAGACAGCGGAGAAGGCAGGGGTGGGGGTGGGGGGGCCCAAGGATTCCCCAGCAGTCCTCGCTGCCTAAAAGGGCCCTGGGCCACTACTGTAGACTCAGAGTACTTGACCTTCACCTGTTAATGAATTGGGCATTCTAGCGTGCTTTGCTCTGGGAGATCAGTGTTTGCAAAGTGTTTTAAAATCTTTGGTTAGCATCGCTTCTCACCCTCCACCTCCCTTCTCCTATCTGCTAATAAGGTGCGTGGATCATTTGATCAGGAAAGAGAGAGCTCCATTTTTCTCCTCTCTGTGCTGCTTTTTATTGTAAATACATAAAGTCGAGCCTGTTTCACAGGGGAGCCACCTTAGCCTTCAGCGGCAGCACGGTGTGGTGTTATTCACACCTCTGACCTCACCTCCCAGCTGGCATTTGCTCAGCAAAACTCTACCTGCAGCCTGCTCGGGGCCCTGCGCTTACTGCCAAGCTAGAAGGTTCTTGGCGGTGGAACGTTGCTCACTTTTAATGAGTCCCCTCCTCGTTAATTAACAGTGTGCATTTTCCTGGAAGCTGTGCTGGGTGAACTTGGGACCTGATCTCCCCAGGCAAATGCTTTCCTGAGTCTCTCCATGCCGGGGCTGACTCCTGCCTGCACACGAGAGTGTTAGCTTGACACGTGGAACGTGGCCATGGCATGGGCATCCACTTGTGGTGCTCTAGAGGGGGGAAGAGGGAAGAGGGAATTCCGTAGTGATGCCAGTCACGATGTGAACCGACCTAGAGATGTTCCATTTTTCTCCTTCCAAAGAAGAGTATCTCTCAGGTGATTAAAAATTAAAAATTGCTGGGATGCTTTTTAGCTGAGATGTCTTAAACCTGATGTGTGGGTCTAAGCTCCTGGCGTCTGCTCAGCACTTGTAGGCCAGGCACGGTGGCTCATGCCTGTAATCCTAGCACTCTGGGAGGCCGAGGAGGGAGGATCGCTCAAGGTCAGGAGTTCAAAACCAGCCTGAGCAAGAGCGAGACTCCGTCTCTACTAAAAAATAGAAAGAAATTAATTGACCAACTAAAAATATATACAAAAAAAAAACATCAGCCGGGCATGGTGGTGCATGCCTGTAGTCCCAGCTACTTGGGAGGCTGAGGCAGGAGGATCGCTTGAGCCCAGGAGTTTGAGGTTGCTGTGAGGTAGGCTGATGCCACAGCACTCTAGCCCAGGTGATGGAGTGAAACTCTGTCTCAAAAAAAAAAAAAAAAAGCACTTGTAAATTGCAGAACTCTTCTGCCCAGACCCCAGGGATGGGGGCCAGAGTGAGGCTTACCCTGGGCCTGGTTGGGATGGGCTTTATTTATCAGGTTAATATGAGTTTTTATAGCTGTTAGAAGAAATGGAAATGCAAATCACAGCTAAATGGAGAAGCAAAACATGATAGCTGAATGAACAGTGTTTCATGCCACATTTGAGGGGCCAGGGAACTCATGAATTGGAAGACTCATCAGAAACAAGAAAAACTGGGCACACTGGGTACAGAATGGGGAACAGGTCTCAGCAAGCAGTTCAGGATTCTTAAGGGTGTCGAACAGTGCAGCCTAGTGGGTAGGGGCAGGGTTTTAGCA